CTGTTAAGTAATCTTTGAAAAATATATATTAGCGCCGATTTAAAGCGTGAATAGGAGTCTTTTTTAGGGAGAGCACAAAATAAATCATCAGCCTTTTTATGTTCTAGTTTCAACATTAATGTGACAACATTATTCCTAAACAGCTTGCTTTATTTATTTACTGGGGAAGGGGTGGGGTGGAAAGCCCATTGAAAAACACTACAGGTAAAGTACATGTGGGAATCAATAGGTAAAGGAATAAAAAAAAAAGAGGCTATGGGGTTGTTTGGGGGGTTGCAAACTAATTACAGTGTGATAAATTTGTCTTGGAACAACAAGCAGCATCTGAATGCTGCCTTTTCTTCTTGACTGATTACACTGAACCACCTCCCCCGTCATCCATCATACATCTTTATGGCTTCTTTGGGGAATGGTTTGTGAATGTGTACAGTGATTTTATGTGTATCCATCCAGGATCTGTGCAGAGCCCTCATTGCTATAGGCAATGCACATGTGTAGGGTGTTGGGTCGGGTGAGCGTGTGTGTGTGTGTGTGTGTGTGTGTGTGTGTGTGTGTCAGGAGGGGAGTGGTCAGGCAATTAACCAGCTGTGCTAACGATCATCTCACTGCAGAATCACAGCAATGTTTTACAGCAGCCTACAGCGCTTTACTGCCTTTGTTGTCACAGTGATATAGTATTCTCCACCATAAAGTGCTGATACTGGTTGATTGTTTTGGCCTCTTCAGGCTTGTTCTTTTTTTTTTTACATACAAACGCTTACACACCCACTCTATGCAAATTAATTCTCTGTGTCTTTTACACACACACACATGCACACACAGTAGTATTCTTTTATAGCCTGTGTGTATCTTTTATGGCCAGTGTCTGCTGCTCTGTCCTGGGACCAATCCCAGGCTGTAGATCTCCCTTATCATAAAATGAGTGTGGTGTAGAGTAAGACTGTTGCAGCCATGCTGGAAACCCTCCATTATGTATGTCTTGCAGATATACGTCGTAAAAAACAGATCACTGCAGCCCATCCATTATGAAATGTTGGAACAAAAACAGAGAAGGCAGGATTTTAATATCACTCGTTCAAGCTAGAGTTAATCAGAATTTATATTAACAGACCGGTACATGGTTCACAAAGACCTCTTCACAGTTACATTATTTATCTTTTCCTTTCATTAAGAGTGCTATTTTTGGCATAGTATCAGGGCTGTTGTCTTGGTTACAACATATATGTTTCTAATGAAGAAAATAAGAATTTAAGAAGAAGATGTGGAAGATATACAGTACTTGGTAACACTTTAAGACTCAAAACTCTTGTTATCATAGGACAAAAAGGACCTTTATTTGTATACAACACACATGAATGAATTGCAGTATACAGCAATGGCATTTAATTGTTAATGCTTATTGAACTGACAGCCTGTAAAAGGTCTTCGTGGGGATTGCTGATGTCTTCTGGTGTCTATATGTTACGTGTCTTGGTGCAGCTGCAGGTGCCCTGTTCGTTCTTGTGGGAACAAACAGTGATGAAACTGGAGGATGGATTATCTGACATGTTGGCAGTGCTGGTTGTGGTGGCCTTTTTTTACTGGTCCACTTTCAACTGGTGTTATTTCTTCTTGAATGAATGCCGTCTGCCTCATTGGTCAGAGACTCCGTCATCCTCTGGATGTCCTTCTTTTCCTGAAGGAAGGATTTCCGTATATTTTCTATTTCCTCCTTTTCCATCTCAAACACCTTCCTCTCCTCGCACATGGCTTCTTTTTTTTTTTAGCATTAAAAGCCTTTCTCGTCTTGTGTTTTTCCTTGAAGTCTTTGTTGAAGGCCTTTCTTTCTTTTTCCATGTCAGCATTCTCCAACAGGAGAGCATCACTCATGTTCTGGATGCCAGCCTTTTCTTTCATGTACACCTTCCTCATCATAGCCATTTCCTCCTTCTCCACCTTGAACAACTCCCTGTCGTCGAGCATGGCATCATCTCCAGCTTGGAAGGCCCTCCTTTCCATACGGTGTTCTCTTAGTACTTTGTTGAAGGTCTCTGTTTTTTATTCTTCTGTCGTCTTTCTCCAACTCGAAAGTCTTCCTCAACCTCTTCAGGTCAGATTTTTCTTGAACTTAGACCTCTCTAATGACGGCCATCTCTTTGTTTTCCATTTCAAAGGCCTCTCTTTGCTCAGTGTTTTCTCTTGCTTTAAATTCCTTCCTTCTTCTTTGAGTTCTGTCTTGAATGTTTTTCTTTCTTTTTAAATTTTCTCCTTCTCCAACTGGAAGGCGTTTTTTTTAATCTCAGTCATTTGGACACACTCACTTTGAAAGGCCTCTCTCTGGCTGGTCATTCTTTGCATTTGATTCTGCTGCTCCTCTTTTAACTTGTACATTTCCCCCTCAAGTTTCTCACAAGTTTTCTCCATGGAGAATTTTCTGGATTCTGCCTCCATGTGCCCCTCCAGAGCAAGAGGAAAACATGCTGTTTCAAACAACAGAATCTTCTCAACTCTGATACTCTGGGTGGGATGCAAAGACTGGTTCTGCCTCACTCTGACCGCCTGGAGGTGACAATATTAATTCCCCATCATTGGTCATTTTCAGGAAAAAACAGAAATATGAAAACATGATGTTGTTTTTTGAAACTGGCAAAGAACCTCCCAATGATATGTTTCTACATAGCGTGTGTGTAGCAAAAGTATTTAACGCTTAATTCAACACATTCTGCCATTCTCCCAGTGGCTTTCCTTAGGAATCAAGTCTCTGTTGAGCTGATAAATATATCTAAAGTATATAAATACTTTTTGTACAGTTATTTGAAGGTTCAATGAATATTAGCTTCTCAATGTCTCAGTATGTCCACTCCTCAGTGCTGCGTGTACTGAGATGACTGCTCAGTACACAGTGAGTGCTCCTGAGCTGGTTGGAGTTCGGTGCCTAGCTGAAGGGCACCTCGGCAGTGCTCAGGAACTGTACTGGCAACTCTCCATCTACCAGACCAATGTACAGAAATGGTCTGCACCAGAACTTGAGCCGGCGGCCCTCTGGTTCCCAACCCAAGCAACCCTACAGACTGCATTTCTGCCGCACCCTTAAAGAGAAATTTGAAATGTAACAAGTATAAAAAATTTACATTTTGCAAATCAGATCCAAGCCACATTTGGATTTAGTCAAACATTCAATTAAATCAGGTATCAATGAAATGTGTCTCAGAGTCTTCAAAGTGTCACTCTCAACACCATAAACAAGAAAATCATCAAATCCAGAGCGACAGGAGGTCATCAAAGCGCCCAAGAAGGAGCCGCTGCTTGATGAGCTGGTCTAGTGTGACAAAGGACTTCTGTACTTCTACTCTAGCTGTCTTAACAGCGCAGTTGTTTGAAGATTGAAGATGATTGTGATTCCACGGAGCCCAAGTGTGTGCAGTAACTCACTTGTTTGTCCTCAACACTGCAACATATAGTAGGTAGGTGTTAAATCGGATCACTTCCAAAAAGAGAGCAGTCAGTTTGTCTGAACTTCAGCTTTGAAAACCAATTGTTTGATCAATACTTACTCTCATCTATCTGAATGTAAACCATACAGTAGTAAGCGGTCATAGACTGTAAAATATTAACGGACGAAGCTTGAGTGATGTCACCCATCTGTTACTGCAGGGGGGCTGCGGAGGCCCATCTGCAGCAGCCGCAATTCTGGAAATGTTGTCTCAGTCTAACTTGCAGTCACCTTAAGGACAGGTCGTTTTTAAGCCTCTTGACGAACTGTTACATCTTGCCCACCTGTCAATCATGTCAGCCTGGCCCTGACTATGGATAATTCGTATCATTCATGCCTATGATGACAATAGCTAATCAGACCTATTTCATTTTTTGTACCAGGCTGTAAACATGTTTATTTATGTGTATGTGACTTTCAGGGTTTTTGGAGTCGGCCTCAAGCGGACACTTGAAGAATACAGTTTTTGCACGTCCACATTGGCTTCATTTTTAAACACCAGAGGTTTTGAGGCGATGCAATTACCATGTAAACGGTATACAACCCAACATTGGAGTGGATGTAAAATAATTTACAAAGCCTGTATGTTACTTTTAACCTTTTCCTTTCACTCCACATATTCCTAAATATCATTGTATCATCAAATTAGATATTTTTACAATAAGAATAACAATGAGAATGGCATAAGGAAGTAATTTGTGGGTTTTTAAGTTACATAACAGTGTAGAAGGGATAAAGATTATACAAATATGATGTTTAAATGACTAAATACAAGTAGTCATTTTGATAAATGCAGTTCATAAACTTTTCGTCTCTTTTCCCATTCAAACTAACTCATTGTCAATTTGACGAACAGTTTCCTCAAAAGCAAAAAAAAAAGGAAACAAAGTTGTTTTAGTTGCACACAAACCCACATTCAGCTCACACAAAACTGCCCTTGTACACAAAACACACATACACACACGTGCGCACGCACACACATACACACGAGCCTGTTGCAGTTTGCGCCCCAAACTGCAACAGATGCTCCCCCTAACAAACCATTACGGCAGCATAAGCACCACCATAAACAAACCCTCATGGAAGCATCAAGAAAAGTTTGCTGACGACGAGCTTGTTAATGTTGTTTGTTGGCTTTGTTAGTCGACTGCTTGTTGATGCTGTTTACTGTTTACACAGCCGGCACACTTCTCATCTGTTTCTGCTGCATATATAAAAGTTATACGTCAAAATGATTCCCCTTCTACTCCGCTCCTCTGGAACGGCTGTGGATGTTGTAAGTTATTGTGTGTTTGTGCAGCCATTTGTGTAAAAAGAGTAATGGCATTTTGGCCTGATGTGTGTGTGAATGTACCCTTCCTGCCTGTGCGTATGCATTATATAGATTTATGTGTGTATGTGTGCATGTTTTGAATGAGTGTGTGTGTGTGTGCATGTGTGGTGCATGTGTGGTGCATGGGGTCTTAATTAATCTCTGTCATTAATAATTTAATCATGGCTTTTTGTTTAATAAACAGTTTGGCAGTGATGTATTGCGGCTGGGTCGGGTAATTTGATTGGCGGTGGAAATGAGCTGGTTATGCACATCACTCTCTCTCTCCCTCTCTCTCTCTCTGTCTCTGAAGCAGAGATATTACTGCTGGCATTCAGGACCAGCGAGTGTGCGCACGCTACAGGGGGAGGGCAATTACGCTAAGATGCCATAATGATCAGTGATGGATGTACAGGGAGGAGGTTCTTTCAGAGCACATTTCAGCTAATGGAGTAACACTGAAGGGGGGAAAAAAGCAAAGTAAAATTTCAGAATTATTTTATATGACAGAGAACATTTCCATTAAGCCTGCTTAATTATAATTCAGGGAACAAAATGAGCTATATGTACTTTTTTATGTATAGGTTGTGCTCTATATTCTGCATAAATACATTAACATGAACTTGGGTCCTGAAGGCCACAACTTAATTTAGTCTGTGCTTCATCGTCTTCACACTAGATGGCACTCTTGAGTTGTCATAATAAAAATTCAGCACTACTTCATAACTTGTCCTGCTGTAGCTTTCCTTCCTAAATCTATACTTCATTCCCCTTCATCTTTCACTTCCAGGTATTTGGTTTCTGCCACCGCCATTTAATGTGCTCAATCATGAACACCATGACTACAACATGAATGCCAGAACTGCTCAGCATGAAAGTTCTGACACTTCTTGATTAGGTGCGTACAGGAGCCCAGTGTAATAACTCACTAGTCATCTTGGATATAAAATAGGTATGAAGGCAGTTACAGTAATATGATGGCTTTAGCTGTTTGTAAATATCATTTAACCATAAGCCTAACCTTCAAATACTAGAGTGCAATGATCTTTTATCTTTTGACTGTGACATTAGGTCTTTCTTATCATTATGCAGTACTCTTGCAGTTTTGTTTTTACACACAAATTGATTTACATGCACACTAGTACAGTTAGATACAGAAAACTAAAAACATGTTGAAAAAAATAACATTTAATTGCAAGTACATTTAAACACAGGATCTGATACAGATGTTTTCTTTTAGACAATGTGGATGATTTTTTTTTTTTGCCATCTGAACAATGAAAGAAATGGAAATATGACAATCTTAATTAATTAATGGTAAATGGACTTGAGCTAGTATAGCTCTTTTCTAGTCTTCTGACTACTCAAACCACTTTCACACCGCAGGTCACACCTACACATTCACTCACTGATGGCAGAGGTTGCTAAGTGACCAACAGAAGTAACTAATCCCATTCATACATATTCATACCCCGCTGACGAAGCAGCGGGGGCAATTCGGGGTTAAGTGTCTTACCCCAGGAAACATCTGACATGTTGCTTGCAGGAGCTGGGGATGATTTATTCAAAATGATGCATACAGTATAATGCCAACAAAACATGATAAAGAAAGGTGCATGTCCATTTTCCACTCACATTTGAGTTTTCTTTGTTCTCTGTAGCAGGTCAGGCTTGGTTTGGATGAAGAAGAGGAAATGACAGGCCTGAAGGCAGACAAAATGTTACGGGTGAGGCAAGGTCAGGTATGGTGATGCAGGTTGGGTGGAGACTTGTGATTTAACAATGTTGTCACCTTCAAATGAATGTGTTCAGATTCAGCTGTTTTGTTTAGCATTCAGTTTAGCATGAGTATTTTATATGATGATTATAAAGTTGCACATTATGTCAATCTCTTCTCTCTCAGTCGAACGTTGACTACTTATCAACTGTACACAGTCTTCATTCTCCCCGCACAACCTCCACCCACTCTCCTGCCAAATGCAAAGAATTGTTACTGTTGAGAAAAAAACATGGTGGAATATCACAATGGGGAGAGAAGCAAAATAAATGCAGCAGGGTTTAGGATATCAGTCTGGTTTTTTCTGTCTTTGAGTTCCAGTGTGAGTGAGTGTGTAACAGGCTCTGCCATCCTGTATGACTGGTCTATTACAGCAGACAGCTCCTGGTGAGATAGTCATGCTGTGGTATTGTTTGGTCCATTTCACATGATAATGTTGCAATGTCCTAGCCACTGTGAAAAAAATCAATTTTTTTGGAAGAATGTCAAGCCTCCACGTCTTTAAAGACATAAGCTATAATAAGAGCTATATGGAAAGGATTTGGGATTATACTGGTGTCGCCCCAGCCTGAATTGAATGTACTCTATGACTAGGGTTTGTTTGCGTTGAGGAAGATAATAGATGAACCTCTGATGATAGTCAAGAATGTGTCTACAGTTATTGATGGATGCGCAGTTCTGTTTGTTTGTAATGGAGCCAATGAGAGCGTCTGATTTTAACAGATGGATCAAATGTATTTCTCACATTGCATCATTGATAGTTACCAAACAGATGAACTATTAGAAACTAGTCACACATGTGCTACACACACAAAGCAAAAGTTTGAAGGTTCCATTTTTGTGGATCCAGCAGTGTAATTTAAGAGTTAACAAAATGTGGTTTGTCTAACTAATAAAAAAAACAGAATAAAATGTGATTATCTAACAAGAATTATGCAAATTAAGCTGTTTGGTATTTGTAGGCGTCACAGTAATTGCTTCATGGCATCAGTTTGCATGAGGTGTGTGTGTTTTTGTTGAATATCAGAGTATTTTTGTGAGTGCTGAGTGCTTGGTTTTTCCCCTCACCACTTCCACGCTGTCGTCTTCTCTTCTCACCTGCATTGGACCCGCAATCGACACACCTGCCTCCCATCAAGCAATCAACTACACCTACAAAAAAAAAACCCTGCACTAGCACTACAGTCTCTGCTGGTTTGTTGTGTCATTCAGAAGTTTTTTGATTCACAAGTCCAGCTCAGGTTTAGCCTTGTTGCCGTATTTTAAACAACCCTTTGTTGGCTGCTGCTGCTGCTGCTGCTGCTGCTGCTGCTGCTGCTGCTGCTGCTGCTGCTGCTGCTGCTGCTGCTGCTGCTGCTGCTGCTGCTGCTGCTGCTGCTGCTGCTGCTGCTGCTGCTGCTGCTGCTGCTGCTGCTGCTGCTGCTGCTGCTGCTGCTGCTGCTGCTGCTGCTGCTGCTGCTGCTGCTGCTGCTGCTGCTGCTGCTGCTGCTGCTGCTGCTGCTGCTGCTGCTGCTGCTGCTGCTGCTGCTGCTGCTGCTGCTGCTGCTGCTGCTGCTGCTGCTGCTGCTGCTGCTGCTGCTGCTGCCTTATTTGTGGCAATAGGAAAATATTGATGTCCAAATTAACTGATGTTTATGGGAGGGGAAAAAATGAAAGAGAGGTAGAACATTGTTTTTCCCTAAGAAGTTGGAAACCCAACTGTTTGACAAGTAGACAAGTGGAAGTATGTTTCAAGTTAGAGTACAAGTTAAGCAAAGTAGTTTGCGTTCAAGTTCCTGTTTAATCATCGTTCAAGTCACCTTTAATATTGTCTTCAGCCTTTTTTTGTGGTCAGGCATTGACTTCATGTAAAGACAACTTTTGAAAAAATATTGTTAAAAAAGAAAGTGAAATCTTTTGTAACTTTTTTGCTGGACCTTGTTTAGATTTAATATTTATTTTCTTGAATTGTCAGTTCAAGCCAATCAGTCCATCAATGCGACCTCACAGTGGAAACCAGATTTTTGAACATTTGGTTTAAAGTGAGGAGATTAAAATATTTCTTCCCATTTCCTCTCCCAGTTTGCAGGAATAAAAAAAAAAAAACAATGATCAATTAAAACTGTATTTTTCTTATTTTTTAACGAATAAAATGGTGGATGCAAGACTCAAGAAAGTGGATGAAGTCTGAGCAAAAAAAAAATGTTACAACTGAAGAAAAGCTTTCCTCACCCAAATTGGGAAACCGTGACACGAGTAGGTTCTCATTTTTCATTCACTCCTATAGACTCAGGCCTAGTCCACATGTAGCAGGGTATTTTTGAAAAGGTAGGTTTTTCTGTGTGTTCTGGCTTTTTGAACAAACACAAACTGTATCAGGTCACTAAAAACTCACCTTTTAAAAAACTCCTTCCAGGGTGAAGATTTTCTGAAACTCTGTGTTTATGAGTAGACGGGGAAAACTGAGTTCTGGTCTTGTAATGTCATAGTGTGCACATGTTTCTCCTCCATTCGGTGTCATTGTGTCACGCTTACACTTTTGTTTCTATGAGGTTGGTGCAATGGCAGATGTAACCAAACTAGTGCTGGTGTTAACATTGCTAACTGGATCTCTTCTCTTCAGACATCCAGAACGTTGCTGTTTGTCATTTTATATAGCTGATTGGATTTTGTATTCTAACCAGGCAGAATGGAAACATACAGAATTGCTTATGATAAATGAGTGCTATTTTTTTGTGTCAGAATTAAGAAAACCCTTAGAGCTAAATTTACACATTGTCACATAATTGGCCAAAAGCATCACAATAAAGTTACACAACTCCCAGACAGCGTCATCTTGGCTGATAACTACAACACTTTCAACTCTGCTTGTTACATGCTAAAGCAGGACAAAAGCAAATAAGGGGCGATGTTTTTTTTGTTTTTTTTTGTACGTCACAGCTGAACACATCAAATGACATTTTACCCCTCCCAAGTGTTTTGACTGGTTTGTTGCTTTTGTGAATAATTACAACCATGGAGAATGATCGCTTACGTTTGATGGCGTTGATGATGCAGAACACATAACAGTACTGACTGACACATGTGAATCCGCCCCTCCCCCCCCCCCCTTCTCTGAAAGTACATTTTCTGTATCCTCTCGGGGATTAGAAATACATATCATTACTTTGATATGTGTCTCCTTGTCGGGTGTTCATGAGCGGTTTGTGTGTAAAGGTCTACGCATCTGTTTGATTCTGTATTCCAGTTTCTATGCGCCTGTAAAACAAGCTCATTAGCTGGTAGAATCACAGCAGTAGGTAGTGAGAGGGTCTAATGTCCCTCTGGAGAGAAGACTGAATGTTTACTGTGAAGAAACTATTCAACAAGACCCACAGCTGAAAATTACACATCGTGCACGTGCACAGACATGATAACCATACAGGAAAATAAGCTCAGAGCAAATGTGGATTGCACACAGAAACATGCAGACACACTTTCAGCAACAACAAAAAAAAAAACTACACAACGTTATAATGAGAACATTTGCCTTTAATGCGTAATCCTATGGAATGAAAACATCCACAAAAGAGTGGAGAACAACATACTGAGAAACAGAAAACATAATGCAGCCATTTAATTACGTGCACGGAGATCGTAGTGGTCGCATGCAGACACTTTAGCCGGTCACCATGTAAACGTCACTCGGGTCCCATTGGATCGAATTGAAAATATCCAGAGTATATTTGGCCGCGTTCAGACATCAGCTCACTTGGATATTCTGCGGAAAAAATACTAGGGGTCTGGCCGGAGAAATTCCGGGTAAAGTTTACGCGAAAAATGCTGCTGTTTGCGTTCACACATAGCCTAAAGAACCTCCGGGTAGCCAAATCTCCGGAGTTTTTCAGGAGATTTCCGTATGTGTGAAAAGGGTTTGTGTTTGTTTCAGTGTACAAGCGACGAGGGAGAATCTATTTTTTGATGGATGTATGTCCAACTCTGCTCCAGTAGGTGGCGATATTCCCCCTTTCAGTGACTATCAGAACTGCTTCCATTTAACTTATGACATTATATACAAAACAAGCAAGTTAGCAAGCAGGAAACTCTTTTCCTTCCATCCGTCTACTTCAATATGTTGTAATCCTTCAGCTGACACAACTAGAACTGTCTCCCCGTCTGTCCATCTCCCTGTAGCACTCACCTTGTTGATACATTCGTCTGTTTTTCATCTCGGCTTTCTTCTACACATAAATGTTGTTCAACTTTAGGGCCGAAGCCCGGTGCTGGAACTGAAGAGCATGCACTGAACGCCTGGGCCAGGTTGGGTGGAGTGCGGTAAGAGGTGTGTTACATGCAAAGTTAAATCGACTCCCAACTGCATTATTTTAGTGTTAGTCTGCTTTTAAGAAAGTCGACTTAGTATAACATAGTCCAATTTTCGTCTCACAACTGATTTTTTAAGATTTATTTGTGTGCCTTTACTGGAGAAATAGGACAGTGGATAGAGTTGGAAATCAGGGAGAGAGAGTTGGGGAATGTGGGAAAGGAGCCACATGTGAGAAGTAGGATACACTGCACCACCAGCACTCTGTGATTGCTAAATTTTGATAAAAAGTCTTACGGCAATGTCATAAGTAGGTAAGTAGTTTTTCATCTAATTTGGTGTCACGTTCCCCGGATTGCAAGGGGATGCAGGGAACAATAAATGAAAAACCCAGAAATGAAACCAAAAAAGTTTACTGATTTAATTCCTAAAAGCCAACAAAAATTACAACTAACCAAACACTTTCAGCACGCTGGTCCTGCACACACGAATGAACCCCACAAAAACACTGCATTTACCTCTCCTGCTCCTGCTGCAGGACCTGATTACCAAACGACACCCAGGTGAGCCCTAATAACCATCCTCTTGTTGAGCGATGGGCGGACCACCAACCTGTAGATAAAAAAAAAAAAAGAGAGAGAGAGGAGGGGAGAGACGACAGAACAACAATACAAAAACACCACAGCCCATAATACTGTATTTGGCTTTATTCATGTAATAAGCAGATGTAAAGAGAAAAAAAGGATTCTATAGAATATATCCAACTTTATACTGTTTTTTTTAAAGCATAGAGACTCTTGCCTGCTCTTTCTGCTAATTGTCTTGAGATTTGTTGCGAGTTAGCGCTTTACAAAAAAAATTGATTTCGTGTTTCTAAGTTTATTTTATTTTGTTTTCCATTTTCTTTTTCTGCCATTTTTTTTGCAATACATCACTGCCCTTTAATCAAAGTTTCCAGGTACAGAGGCGCTGCTTGTCAACAGGCAAGGTAGACAACTGCTTGGGTCCCCAGGCCAGTAGGGGGCCCCCTAAGGCCTGACAAACTCAAACCAAAGCAGTGACCCAAAATGTGCAAATTTTGCAATGACAGTAGGAGACCTCCCTAAGAGGGCCCCATCTGACATCACTCACTCTCGTTGCCCTGCCGAGTGTTGCATGCATTAATACTGTGAAAACCAAAGTTTGTCAATGAAAGTCAACAAAGAAAAATAAAGGTGAATTTGCAGTCTTTAGGAGAGAAAGAAAGTTCCGGTCAAAAGAGGAAGAGGAGTAAACGTCAGGACAGTGGCAGACGTAATGGTGATGATTGAAGGGCCCCAAAGGCCCCAACAGACTCTAGAATCGCCACTATCCAGGTATAGTACAAAACTCAGGCTGGACTTTATGAGACACATTACTAGGCCACCTAACAAAAAAGAACACTACAAAGAAAAACTTTGTAAGCAATTTTAGATAATTAATAGTCATGCATGCTGGGTCATGGTAAGAGCCAATCCTTTGTGCTCTGATTGGCTTAATTAGCTTTTTAAGTAGGAAATTACTCCTTCAATGAGATTGTGTGATTTCTGAGAGTGTGAGAAGAATGACTTAATCAAATATAATCAGAACGGAATAATTAGGACTTTTATCTACAGCATAACAATACGATGGAATATTTCTTTACAATGAGAAGCACCAGCTCATAGGACTGCAGAAAAATCTAATGCATTCATTCTTAGTGCTTAATTGAAGCCTCTTTTGTATTGAAACGTATACCAAACCTTTTTCCTCCACATTGATATCACTCTCTCAGCAGTTTTTTTTTTTTT